CACCGTTTTCACGTGTGAATCTATTGGTTTTGTTCAGATTGAAAAATCAGTTTTTAGAATTTTGTGAGGATATGGAGCAAGATAGCTTAAAATGTTCAGAGATGAGAAGTTTGTGCCTTGAATTTCACATCTTTTGCAAAAAACAGATTTCAAATTGGTTGCGGCATTGCTGAGAAAATCGCAAAATATGCTTTCTGTAAGCAAGCAAACAAGCAAGTTAATCAGCAAGAAATCTCAATAACGAGACATCGTAGAGACTTCTAGTTTTTTACATTTGATCCGTGCTGCTCTAAAGAAGAGCAATATTGTTTTTAGGCAAGGTAAGAACAGCCGTTGCTTCAGAAAAAGCAAAAAACTTTCCTCTCTTACGAATTTTTTAAAACAAAAGTTGACTGTGATTTTTATAAAATTCAACTTTGGATAAAAAAATTTTTTAAAAAACTTTTAAAGAATATTTGGCATATTCGTCAAGCTTTATACCAGAGATCGAAGCCGATTTACTATGATTACATGCTTTACTATGATTTTGTGTAATATTTTGTCAGCATGTAGCTATAGTAAGCTCAGAATTTCAAGTTAAACGATTTTAAGCCAAAATTTAAGCCGATCGGCTTAAAATCGGCTAAATTGAAATTCTGAGCTTACTATAGCTACATGCTGACAAAATATTACACAGAAACATAGTAAAGCATATAAAGTTCAATTTAAATACTTAAAATGGTTGTTAAATGGCTCTTTTCTATCAAAAAAATCAAAAATTGAGTTAAGCCGAAAAAATCGGCTTCGATCTCTGCTTTATACCTTCAAACTTATGCTGAGCATAGCTCAGCTGACTCGATAGCTTTACATATATCTTCAAACTTATGCTGAGCGTAGCTCAGCTGACACTCTAGCTTTATATCTTCAAACTTATGCTGAGCGTAGCTCAGCTTACGCGATAGCTTTATAACTTCAAACTTATGTTAAGCGAAGCTCAGCTGCCTCTCTAGCTTTATATCTTCAAACTTATGCTGAGCGTAGCTCAGCTTACGCGATAGCTTTATAACTTCAAACTTATGCTGAGCGAAGCTTAGTTGACTTATCAAGCTTCATACCTTCATACTTATGATGAGCAAATCTTGGTCTATCCATAAGACTTATGATAGTACGGTGTGAATATAATCCGCATTGGGTTTCTACCCGATACACTAGTTTGTCATGTTTTATTGATTTAAGAACATTCACAAAAATTGCTTTGTCAGTTTGAGCAATTTCTGTGAAGTTCTTGCAGATTTGAAGTCGAAAATGTTAAATAGTAGCTACTTTTGCACTAGGTTGCATCATAAATTCACTGTATCTTTGAAATAATGTTTAACAAATTGTTTGTCATGTTTTATTGATTTAAGAACATTCACACAAATTGCTTTGTCAGTTTGAGCAATTTCTGTGAAGTTCTGGTAGATTTGCAGTCGAAAATGTTAAATAGGTGCTTTTTTTGCACTGGGTTGCATCATAAATTCACTGTATCTTTGAAATTATGTTTAACAAACTTTTTGTCATTTTTTATTGATTTTAGAACATTTACACAAACTGCTTTGTCAGTTTGAGCAATTTCTGTGAAGTTCTGGTAGATTTGCAGTCAAAAATGTTAAAAAGTAGCTACTTTTGCACTAGGTTGCTTCATAAATTCACTGTATCTTTGAAATAAAGTTTAACAAATTTTTTGACATGTTTTATTGAATTAAGATCATTTGAACAAATTGCTTTGTCAGTTTGAGCAATTTCTGTGAAGTTCTGGCAGATTTATAGTCGAAAATGTTAAATAGTAGCTACTTTTGCACCAGGTTGCTTCATAAATTCACTAGATCTTTGAAATCGTGTTAAACAAATTTTTTGTCATGTTTTATTGATTTAAGAACATTGACACAAATTGCTTTGTCAGTTTGAGCATTTTCTGTGAAGTTCTGGCAGATTTGTAGTCGAAAATGTTAAATAGTAGCTACTTTTGCACTAGGTTGCATCATAAATTCACTGTATCTTTGAAATAATGTTTAACAAATTGTTTGTTATGTTTTATTGATTTAAAAACATTCACACAACTTGCTTTGTCAGTTTGAGCAATTTCTGTGAAGTTCTGGCAGATTTGTAGTCGAAAATGTTAAATAGTAGCTACTTTTGCACCAGGTTGCTTCATAAATTCACTAGATCTTTAAAATCGTGTTAAACAAATTTTTTGTCATGTTTTATTGATTTAAAAACATTCACACAACTTGCTTTGTCAGTTTGAGCAATTTCTGTGAAGTTCTGGCAGATTTGTAGTCGAAAATGTTAAATAGTAGCTACTTTTGCACTAGGTTGCTTCATAAATTCACTGTACTTTTAAAATCATGTTAAACAAATTTTTTGTCATGTTTTATTGATTTAAGAACATTAACACAACTTGCTTTGTCAGTTTGAGCAATTTCTGTGAAGTTCTGGTAGATTTGTACTCAAAAATGTTAAAAAGTAGCTACTTTTGCACTAGATTCCATCATAAATTCACTATTTCTTTGAAATAATGTTTAACAAATTTTTTGTCATGTTTTATTGATTTAAGAACATACGCACAAAATGCTTTGTCAGTTTGAACAATTTGTGTGAAGTTCTGGCAGATTTGCAGTCGAAAATGTTATATAGTAGCTACTTTTGCACTAGGTTGCTTCATAAGTTCACTGTATCTTTGAAATCATGTTTAACAAATTTTTTGTCAAGTTTTATTGATTTAAGAACATTAACACAACTTGCTTTGTCAGTTTGAGCAATTTCTGTGAAGTTCTGGCAGATTTGCAGTCGAAAATGTTAAATAGTAGCTACTTTTGCACCAGGTTGCTTCATAAATTCACTAGATCTTTGAAATCATGTTAAACAAATTTTTTGTCAAGTTTTATTGATTTAAGAACATACGCACAAAATGCTTTGTCAGTTTGAACAATTTCTGTGAAGTTCTGGCAGATTTGCAGTCGAAAATGTTAAAAAGTAGCTACTTTTGCACTAGGCTGCTACATAAATTCACTGTATCTTTGAAATAATGTTTAACAAATTTTTTGTCAAGTTTTATTGATTTAAGAACATACGCACAAAATGCTTTTATCAGTTTGAACAATTTCTGTTAAGTTCTGGCAGATTTGCAGTCGAAAATGTTAAATAGTAGCTACTTTTGCACTAGGTTGCATCATAAATTCACTCTATCTTTGAAATCATGTTTAACAAATTTTTTGTCATGTTTTATTGATTTAAGATCCTTTGCACAAATTGCTTTGTCAGTTTGAGCAATTTCTGTGAAGTTCTGGCAGATTTAAAGTCAAAAATGTTAAATAGTAGCTACTTTTGCACTAGGTTGCATCATAAATTCACTCTATCTTTGAAATAATGTTTAACAAATTTTTTGTCATGTTTTATTGATTTAAGATCCTTTGCACAAATTGCTTTGTCAGTTTGAGCAATTTCTGTGAAGTTCTGGCAGATTTGCAGTTGAAAATGTTTAATAGTAGCTACTTTTGCACTAGGTTGCATCATAAATTCACTAGATCTTTGAAATCATGTTTTATAAATTTTTTGTCATGTTTTATTGATTTAAGAACATTCACACAAATTTGTTTGTCAGTTTGAGCAATTTCTGTCAAGTTCTGGCAGATTTGTAGTCAAAAATGTTAAATAGTAGCAAATTTTCCCAAATAAAAAAGAAGAATATTAACGAGTAAAATAAGGAATTGACTGATAAATGAGAAGCAGACGAGTATGAACGAGCCAGTTAAGGATTTGCATTGATTGTCACCCAATAGAATACAAAGATTTGGAGAAACGTACGCTTGAAAGAGAATTAGAAGTAAAGAAAAATGAATAACCCATGCGTTGATGCAATAATTTGCAGAATATTAATAGTTTAATTAAACAGGACGCTACAGGATAAACAAGAGAAATATGAACTTGCCAATTAAGGAATTGAATCCAGAAAGAAACTTGTTGCTGCATATAGTGAAAGCTATGGAACAGTGTATAAATATACAACCTAAAAGAAAATGTAAGTGAGTATTCATTCATTGATGACAAAAATAAGCAGTAGTTTAATTAAACAAGACGCTTTTAGGAAGAACAGAAGCTATGGAACAGCAATTGCTATTCATACAGCTTATAAGTATGCTAAGCAGGAAAACATGAAAAAATTGATAAACTGGAAGAACAACTAAGCCAATAGCTTCAAAAGATTGAATCTGAGAAGAAAACGTCAAAAGAAGATTTAGAAGAACAAGAGAAAGTAAATTTTTAAAATTTTTCCGCTTAAAGTTGTACTACAAAAACTTTAATTATAGTTTAATTATTAATTTGTTGCAATAAATTTCCATATAAAAAGGGTTTATCATTTGACGGTTTTTTGAAATTCAAAATTTTAAAACGGCTAGAAAAAGTTGAAATTATAGAGGTAGTGTTGAAATTATAGAGGCAAAACAAAATTTTGGCAGGTTACACTGAAAACAAAAAAAAATCATCAATTAAAGTATGAATACATTGTTTTAAGCTTTGTAAATGCCCGGCGTCGGAATAACTCGATAAAACTAAACTAATAAAACCAACCCGAGCTCTCTGCGATGTTTGAATAAAAAGTTTTTAACATGCCTCGAACGAACGAAGGAACGAACAAAGTGCATTATGAAGCTACTTTTTAGAAATAAGTTTCAAAAATGCGCTAAAAAGAGAAAACGCCCCACGTCCTGACCAATTGATATGCATTTCCCTATTTTAAACGTTGATATTCTGTGTTCTGATAGCTTCAATTTGTCCTTATTATTTGTATTCCTCTATTTTTAAAAATTCATGGCTTTGCACATGATCGGAGGTACTTAAGTGCCGAAACAAAAAATAAATTCTTACATAAAAAAAGTCTCGAAAATAGGAAATTAAAATAAAAAAAATCTGGTCCTACTTAAGAACAACTTCTTTCAATCTGAAAACAAAATCACAAAACTGGTTATGTTTTAAAATATATCTGATTTCAGTTTATTAATTTGAATATTTTACAATCCTTTTTTGTTCAAATTTAATTAATATCGTGACGAAAAGTACTTCAAAATTTTTGTGTTAACTTTTAAGGTTATTTTTTTAAATTTTTACAATAGTTCTTAATTAAACCAAATTAAAAAAACAGTGGGCAATTTAAATGATTGAAATTTTAAAAATTAATAACAGCAACAATATCAAAACTTGTACATTCTTGAATAAAAACTATAATAATCCTTGTCTGGTAGAAATAAATGAACTGATCAAATTGTATATGTTTAATGTCTATCATTTGATAGTAAAAGGTTGATTGTCAAAAAACTTTAGTAGCTCTTTTTGATTTCAAAGTCTTAGAAAATAATTATGAAAGTTTTAAGGGTTCATTTCATCTATATAGAAGAGGTCCAAAAGGTTATCAAGTAAATAAATCGAATTTATTATCTTAAGCATTTCTTGTCAAAACTTTTTACAGCACGCTCTGGAGTTTTTGTGATTGAAAGCTTCATATTAATTGGTTTTCTAACAAGATAATAATTATTTCTCTCTAATATTTTTATTTATCGATTGTAACTTGATCTTGACAAAAAAGTGAATTATATTAGAATTAAAGCTTATTTGTGTTTGTATTATTTCATTCATTTTTAAATTATTATTTTTCTTTCTTGTCTAATTCTTGTCAAAATAAAAGATCAAAAATGTTTTAAATGAAAAATGTTTTTTTTTTAAGTTTTTGGTGTTCTGCAAATATCCGTGCATCAATTTTTAAATAAATTATTTCAATTACAAAATGCTGATAAAATTTATTCAGTTTTATAATTTAGTCCTAAGTTATTTTTTAAACACTTTCATCTAACTCTAATCAATCAATCAATTATATTTAAATTTGGCTCTTTTCATTTTATTGATATTTTTTTTCTTCATGATAATAGCGAAATTGATAGAGTATATTTGATGGTCTACAACTACTTGATAAAACAACATTTGAAAATATACTTGAATGTTTTCGAAATATTATGAACGACATTAAATTTCTTCTTAATATTTGCACTAGCTTCAATATTAAGTCAGACTTTTAAATTTCAGTTTCTAATTTCTATTAACAATAGAATGTTAAATAAATCAAATAAGGAAGCATTTTATGTAATCGGAGATGATCTTTACAAATTGAGGAAAAACACAAAAGTTATTTAAATTGAAAAATAATTATTGCTTTTTCTAAAACTTAGAAAATAAAAAACTCAATTTTTAAAACACTTAAGAGTGTCAACAATATGGTTTGTACTTTCCCAGAGTAGCATAAGTCGGATAAACGAGACGAAATTTTAAATCAGAAAGGCGCTGGTATAAGATTTCATCTCGATTATCCTCCTTGTGCTATTCGGGTTCTTCACTAATCTGATCAGCTAGTTAAACAGAAAAAAACTTTAAATATCTTTGTATATCACAAACAAAATAAAAACTTATTTTATGAATGTTCTAATTCAGAAGAGTGTTGTGTCAATGAGACTGTTTTAGGTGCAAATGCATTTTTTTAACGTTTTTTTGAACTATTATTCATATGAAAATTTTTTTTAATATTTTCCACGGCCTTGCTTTGTTCGGCCGAAGTAAGTATTTCAGGGTATAATTACCATCAGCTATCAAAAAATTATGAATTCCATCAAAATAAACTTTCCTTTTTAATTGTTTTTGTTTAAGAATTTTAAAAGTAGGAGCTTTTTACAAAATGTCTTTAATTTTTTTTTTCATACAGCTCATTCCATGTTCTATGCAAAAGCGTTTTAATTTTTTTTAAAGTTAATCCAGCCTCCCTCTAAATTTTTCAGTACAATCCAAAAACTGTCTACACCCATGGCTATGCATAAATGACATCTGTCCATTGTAAGTTTAAAAAAGAGAACGCAAATTATAATTTATCATCGAATGGTGTCTTTACGAAGTATGTCGTTAAAATTCCTTTTCCCTTAACATGAATCGGTCCTCTACATTCACATCCATATCCTGCTGCCATCAAAACTTTTGCAGTATTCTCTGTGGTCTACATTATGACATAATTTATTGAAAAATAAAGAGAAAAAGCAACAAAATCGAAAAAAAAGTATTAGTAAAAAATCAGAAAAGTTTCATTGGAAAAAAGCGTGTAATAATATTTAATAGCGTACCTGAAGTCTGTTTAAGACTCCACATGAGTCCATTCTAGATGCTACATTAACTATGAAATATAAAATGATAAAGATTAAAATTTTAAATAAATAGTTATGACAATATTGCAACCACGATGAAAATATGCGGCAAAAATTTTTATTCATTACAATTGTAAATCTTTTTTTAAATTTAAATTGTTTTAATTTTTAAGTTTAATTAAAATATGAAATTTACCTGTATTGCTCCAAATATCTTGAAAATTCATAAAGGAAAAAATTATTTATAAGAATATTATGTTTTCGTTTTCGTTATATGTCAATAACGTTACCATATTGAGGTTTTTGGGCACCAATGACTCCTGCAATTACGGGTCCATGATTTAATCCAATCCGTAATCTGAAGCGTTGAAAACTTTCTCGGTTGATTGTATCTAGAGTCTGCATCAACGAGATAGCAAAATCAACCAAAATGACCACATTGTGTTCTTCTGTTCGTTTTGCATCCTGTTCAATAAAATAGAAAAAAAAAATCGACTTTTAGGATTAACTTTTTTATACTGCCTGAACATTAAAAAGGATTAAAATGCTTGAAACTTGATTTAATAAATCATAAAATATTTTTCATCATCTGTAGAAAACATAAGCATCACTCAAGCAAGAGTCTCATTTTCATATGCAAAGACTCAGTTCTTCTTTACTTTTTTTAAGATAACTGATTACCCAAAATCAAAACTTGAAAGACACAGGTCAAACAATTTTTAATTAGGCATTACATGTGGCTAATGACAATCCACATTTCTTCAATCATAACATAAATTGACAATTTTTTGGTATTATATACAGCTCAACTTACCGCTTCATTATTCTTCTGAATAAATAAAGAAAACATTTCCGAATGGAATTAGAATGAAAAGGAAAAAAAATCGGAAGCATGCGAAATATAAAGAAGGATATCATTTATAATGAATGCAAACAAAAAGGATTCCATTATTTCATTTCTACTCTCCTTTTTCTCAAAGTTAAGAGTACAGAGAGAAATTGTGAAGAGAAAATAATTACTAATTCATTAAGCTTTAAGAAATTGAATAACTTACAAAAGCTCCTTCTTCTTTCCCTGGCCTTAATCCACTTGCAATCATATACGTACTGCCAATTGTTTTGATTTTCTCAATTCCACTAAACTTTGGCTTTAAGAGTAATTTGTCAAAATCACAAATTATTTCATTAAGTAATCTAAGACATTCTAGTCCTTGCTTATTAACATCTGTTTCATCATAAAATTCCTTATAATTTGGTATTGAAGCAAACATTACACCAACACTGGAATAACTTTCATGATACAAGTCTTTTGTCACTTCTTTCTTTAAAAAATGTTGTGCAACGTGTGCAGGTAAAATATTTTCGAGCAATATCTATATAAAGATAAGAGATAAATTATATTAAAATATTTCATTTAACTATATCCTATATCAAAATTGAAATTTGAAATGCAATTTGTCTTCTGTCTAATTTAAATACTTACTTTATTTATACCTCGCATAGTTTCAACTTCCTCTTGTTCAATTTTCAGTTTAGCTTTCCAAAGAAAATCCGTTCGAGACACAAACTCGCCTTGTCTATCGAGTGTATGAAGTACGGCGACTACCAACAAAAGCAATAAACCTCCCCGTACTGCCAATGGCATACTATACAATTTTAATGATTAATTCATGATTTTTTCTAAATGGAAGATTTTAAATTTACAATACTTACACATCTCCATGAACATAAGACTCATAATCTTCATAATCCTCAAACTTTTGACTTGTGTATAGTATCAATGTCTGTAGAGTAACTGTGATTAACATCATGATGAGTTTTAAGATGAAGCCAGCATGTAAAAATGCAGAAATTGCAGATAAACTTAAACCACATAGAAATAAATAAATCGGTGGAATATCCAACTCTTGAGCTAAAGGACTGAATTGTGTAGTTTCTGATGGCGTAAAAGTTGTATTTAATAAAGTATCATTCGTAGTGTTGGTGTTATTTTCATTATTTATATTGAGTTCAATATTATTCTGAATTCCTTCTGGAGAAGAACTTTCTCCGAAACTAATTACATTAAATACAGCACATGTTGCAATGAGTGAAGTCGTTATTATAAATATCGCTAATCGAATAGATCTAACTGACGATATAATCTGGCCCGGTCCATTATTTCCAGGCTGGGAAGTTTCTGACATCTCATAGTGACTTAGATATAAAAATAATCCTATAGATATACTTGTTGCACTCAGAGATCCAATTATAGGTATATTGCTGTATAAAAAATATTTATAATATAAAATGATTTTTAATTTATTTTTTTAATACTTGCTTTTCGAAAACAATAAGTTGAATGAAAGCAATTGAGATAAACATGACTGTTGCACATATCAAATCAAAACGAAACGTAGGCTCTGGCTGCGAGCGATACATTGTTTCTCTTGCTTTGTTCCTGTACCACATTGTAACTGGCTGTAGTTCTCTAGGTGCACCCCAACATTGGCATTCATTGCAATAGCTCTCTTCCGGTAATAAATTTGATTCAATCATTGCTATACTCTATATTTACAGATGATTGAAAACTTTATTTATTGTAAAAAGTAAAGAAATAAATTACATACAGCAAGTCCTATATTTTTGGCCATTTTTGAGTCAGTAATATTAGCAAAAGGCTTATCAGCACCCCAACATTCAACATATTTCGTCATTTTCGATGATGGTCTTGCTCTAGATGGATTGCTTGGTGTAGCTATTTTTAAAAATTAAAGAAATATTTTATTGTTTAAAATCTTGAAGAACATGAGACTTGTTAATATTTTTCTGAAGTTTTCATGACTATTCAATTTCAATATAGGAGTAAATAATTTCTAAGAAATGAGTGATGAATTAAATTAAATGTTCAATTTTACGTTTAAGAAGTTCATGAAAGCAGTAGCAGTTATACATTGCCCATGTCTATTTAAATTATAAGACAAACAATTCCAATGATTTTTTTACAAACTTAATTTCATTTACTTACAACACCACTGCACAAAAAAGCTTTTAAGGATTCTAACAGAGTACGCCAAAAAAATACAAAAAAAAATTAAAGGTAGGATTCAATCTCACCGATTCCAGGTGATTTGAGGCTATCAAAATTTGTAATTGACATTTTTCTCATATCAGAAAATATTGAACTAGTCGAACGACGCCGCTGCTCACCAAAGCTTATAATATTTGAGACGGATAACTTTCTTCTATCGCTTTGAGACCGTTCACATAATGATGGTTTGGGCATTGATGTTGTATTTGTTAATGGCAAATGATTGCTTATAGGATTGCCATTGCTATTGGCATGATTATTGGCATTTATTGACGATGGTATAGAGGGAATTTGTGTACTGTCATGTGGAAGGGACAATGATGATTTGTTTTTAGTTGAGTCTTCATGTTCTTCGTCAATGGTTGCAGGAACATTTTGTATATTATTATTTAAAGGTAAAAGATTTTGTTTTTCCTCTTCATTGCCATTTGAATCTGGTTCATCTTGTTTTTGTTGATTACATTCATCTTCTAAATTTTCCTTTGGACTAGTCGGAGGAGATACTGGTGAAATATTTATGTTAATTGGGTGTGATGAAAAAGAAGACTGCTCATTGTTTAATACAAATTCATAGATCGGTGAATCTGGAGGTTCTGATATACAAATCGATGTTTGTTGAACTGCTAGTTTACTTAAATCTTGACAGGATTTCTGTAAATAGCATTAAATCGTTATTAAACAAGTTTAAATGTTTTTTTTTTTTTTAATAATTCAAAGAACATTTTTCTTTTGATAATCATTCTTTAATTTACAGATTGATTGACGAAAAAGAAATATTGCATGCATTTAAATATATCTGACTTTAGATAATTTTAATTGATATAGTTAAATACGGTACTTTACCTTTGGCGGAACGATAAGAAATGTTTCAATTTTATGATCCGATAAGTATGGCTCACGTGAAGCTCCATTACCAGGCTCTACTTCGAATTTGTCACCTAAGTAATCTAAAGTTGGTTTAGTGATGTGTACTCGCCTATAAAAAGAAATTACAATTTTTTTTTTAAATCTAGTTTTATCGAAAATATTCTTCTGATAAAAGAGTAATAAGAGTAATATGAAATTTATTGCAAAAAAAAAATCCTAAATTAAGGTTTGATCTTTTTTGAGCATTCACATGAAGACATGGGTATTATCTCTATAATAATTTAATACATTATTATTATACGAAGAAGGAAAAAAGTTAATGATGTGATATGAAAATGAATGCTGTAAAAGCAAACAATTTTCTGATAGAAAACTGATTTGCTTCAACTTAATTTAATTGTGATCAAACTTTGTTATTGAAAAATCGATTTTATTTTTCTTCGTTGAATGCAAATTTATTCAATAAAATAGACGTTTTTAATGATAATAAATAATATAATTTAGTAAAAAATAACAAAATTCGATAATTTTAGCATCTTACCCAGCGAGTCCTCCAGATTCCATTTTATTTGCTAAAGTTACATCATCGCTCCACACATCAAACTGCCATTTACGAAGACCAAGTACGCCACATAAAACGTTTCCACTATGAACGCCTATTCTCATATCAATATTACTACCCGTTGCTTCTCTTACTATTCTATAAAATATTAGAAAATGGAACGCGATAGAACAATATATTCTGTTGATTTCAGCTTCTTTTTCACTCAATATTATTGCAAGAATCATTTAATTATTAAATTTCATACAAATGCCGATGATTCAGAGTCTGTAAGTACAATAGGTTCTTTGGTATTCCGATGATGAAACAATTCCATTCTTTCTAGGTAATGTGCAAAAATTTGCACTATTTTAAATAACGACTTTATTGAAATCTCTTCTTTGTTTATCTGATTCTTGGTTCTTAATGAAGGCTTTAAACTATTTTTGACAGATCTTTTTTCAAAGATAGATATTTTTTAAATAAATCATGATTTCATTAACAGTCCTTCTCTTAGAAGAAGTGATATTGAAACGGTGTGAATATGCCCAAAGAATGATTTGCAAAAATCAAATTTATTGCACTAAAGATCTAATAATTTAGCTTTAAATTTATTACACACGGAACTGACTAAGAGTTTTTTTTATTCTACAAAATGCAAATACACAAATGTGAAAATGCAATTTCATTCCTTTATTATATCCTTTTCAAGGATAGAATTTTAATGCAAAAGTATGCAAATAATTTTTCCCATTCAGCTCTTGCATAGTTTCCGTATAACTGTATTCCCTTGCATTTTTTACTATATAAAGTACAAGAGGATGTTTAAGAAAATAAATTATTGTCATGTGGATTTAATTATTTGCATAGTAGGAGCAATGATTCTTTGTGCAATGATTCTTTGCAAACGTATTTAAAAAAGGAGCTTTAAAAACCTTAACAAAAAATGAATTTTTTACCTAATGGCCTCAATCATTTGCAAACCCATATTTACACAATTAGATGCATGCTGCGGTCGAGATATGGGTAAACCAGAGACACAATAATAGCAGTCACCTAGAATTTTGATTCGTAAACATTGATTTTCCTATTTTTGTGAGTAAAGAAAAACAAACATGAAAGTAGTAAAATCAATGATTAAAAAAGATTTTTAATTTGTGATTTTAATTAATTTTAGAAAATACAGTTTCTTACCATTGCTAATTGATCAAATCGTCCAAAAAGTTCATTAAGCGTCTTTACAAGATCACTGGCTGAAAGTTGCTCAGATAATGGTGTAAAATTCACAATGTCTGCATATAAAATCGATACGTTATTATGACGTTGAACGTGCATTTCGTGAAACCGTGTTTGAGACTGCCCACTAGATTGACACTCGTGCATTTTTAACATGATACTCCGTTTAACTTCAGCTGCAATATAAGCAGGGATAACACTTAATAATAGCTGCTCTTGTTGTTCTCTTTCACATTCGAGCTTCACTCGATGTTCAATTCCTGTGCGAGTGCCATCAACTGTTGCGATATGAGCTGCATCAGACATAATACGATAATATAAGCCAGAAACACTTGCACTAGCCAGAAATATTATTTCTGCAGTTATTTGAGCAAAATTAAACTCGTCCATATGCAGCGGTGAGAAAATTCTATATCCTACATGAACCATTGATAAAATTATGGCCATAATTACAGAAACAGGCCATGATATCGGTAGCATTGTATGAGTTGCCTATATGATCAAAACGAATCAATAAAATAAATGAATATAATTGCTTTTTTCATTCATTAATTACCATTATTAGTGCGTAAAGTGGGAGTGATGCAATTTCGCCTCCTGATATAATTGCTGTACAAGCTAACACAGCTGTTACACAAGCTGCAAAAACCATTGCAATCCAATGGGAATTCATTGTGGATGGAAATTGTAGAGCAATTAAAACTGTTATGATGACAGCACTTGATATTGTTAGAAAAGATATGCTCAACGGTCTCTAAAAAGAAATTCAAAAATTCATGAAAAATGAAATACAGACTATGTATTCTCGTTTGCCGTTTTTTTGAAATTCTTAAATGTAGAATTTTCAATGCAATACATTCAATTTACTTCTTTTATTGCAGATTTGATAGGAAATTGACTTGGGTATTACAATCATAATATGATGATGATAATATTTACCTGGCTTCCTATACTGCAGAGAATTATTGATACGAGACATGATATCAGAGAAATCCCTAAGCCAGAAATGAAGAGAGATTTTCGAAGACGCTTGCGATATCTCGTGTATAAATCATCAAGTTGAGAATCCTCTATAGTGGTAAATAAATAAGAAATTTTGAAAAGAATATCTTTAAAAAAATCATTTCCTTGGTGACATAAATAAATGCAAAGTATTCTAAGATATAAGCTAAATGTTAAGTAAAGAAGAGATCAATATTTGTCACTAAATCAATTTTATACAAAACAGTAAATAACATGATTGATAACACTCTAACGAAGTCAAATGGCATTATAATATCATTCTATGTATCAATAAAATGAGTTTTTCATCTCGCTTATTTTCACACTTCATTTACTTCTCCAATCAATCTTCATGCTATTTTAATTCAATTTTTTCACCTTTTATGGTTGATGAGTGAATATAAATTTTTACCCTCACGAAAAGGAATAAGTTTAAGTTCATACAGTCGCTTTTTGTAAAATTTGTTTAAAAATGTCTTATTTTAATAAATTTTTAACGTATAAAATAAATTATAAAATTAAAAAAGGAAATTTGACTAATAATTAAATCGTGAAACCATTGGTATAAAAAGCTATAAAACAATCAAAAAAACTAAATGACATAATTGATAAATTAACTGTATCGTTATTTTTATTAATTTTCTGTTAATAAACGATCTAATAAATAATATCAAAAAGTTCAAATTAACAATATTTTGAAAAATAAATCGGAAAATCGTATTAATAGTCACACAAAACATAAATTTCATTCATTAAATGAAGAGAAAGAAAATATAAGCAATTTTGTATAAAGCACGATAATGAGTTTGGAACTTTTCCAAACACCTGTTGATAAATGATTTGTATTATATCTTCACGCCTCATTCAAGCAAACTGTTGTAAGCAATATCAAATTCCAATGATTTCTCCTAATATTGTTTTTTAAAAATTGTTTTAAAATTGCTGTTTAAACCTCATGATAATATTGAAATAAGTATTTTATAAAAAAGTTTCTTTAATAAAATATTAGATTCTCAAAAATCAGGAAGAACCCAAATATGTATAATTCATATGACAATAAAACCGTATTTTAAATAAATTCATGATTATGTCATGGAAAATTATTTACGGATGAGGAAAAATATTCATGAATCGCATAAAATTTTCGCAATACGTGATATGTTGTGGAAGGAAATGAGGCGGGATTTTATGCCATGTCATAAAAATTTTCATCGTTTTTACTCATCCGACACTTTTTTAAACTTTGAATCTCTGTCAGTGACATAGCCAGGGAGATGATTCGGTTGAAAAGTTCTTTAATTTGTTAGGGTTTTTCGCAAAAAATGGATTTCCCATTAGAATATTTCCGCTCGAAATATTCCTAGCTACGCCACTGATCTCTGTTTTACCTTGCAGCCTTCAGCGGTTTATTAATTGAAGAAAAATTACTATCATGTATGTTCATATTTATATTTGCAATTCATAACTAATTGCAACAATTTAATTATCTCTCATTCAATTTTGGATCGATTTACACTATATGTGTTGTAAATAGTCTCTTTAAATTTCTTCTCATCATGATAATATTAAATTATTCTGTGAACGATGAGTTTTTTTTTCAGAATCTATTTATAACTAGGACGACGAGAAAAAAAAATAAATATGTTTTTCACTTATAAAATATTAGCTTCTTACAGATTTCCCAATCATTTATTAGTTTATGAACTGAGTGGTTTATAAAAATAGTAAAATTTAGAGACACTTTATCATATTTAATCGTTATTATAATCATTTAAATTATCTCCCGAAACTGCTATAAATATTCTAAATCAAATTCTTTATGTCATTTTATAGGAAAAAATATTTTTCACACTAAGAAAGAGAAATATATTTCAGTAGGAAATGAATAATAAATTAATTTTTCTCTGGGCATAAATTATTATAAAGTTTATCTTAATAAAGCCGAGCCTGCCAGTAAAATAAAAAATTTCAAATAAGTGATATAAGTGCGTATGTATCATTTTTCTCATTTACTAAAGCTTAAGTGTTTAATAGAATAAAAATACCCACTTAATTGCAGGTAGTGAAAATTGTGGAAAGCATTTTTGTAAAAAAATCCTCAAAAGTTTATTTTACAAAGTTTCTCAAAAAAGGAATGATTCTTATGATGTATCATTTTTATTAATTATATCGTATTTTCTTTTAAACACGAAAAACCATTGAAAGTGTAGAAAAAGGCATAGAAAAAGTTGAAACATATTTGCAAAACCAAAGATAAAATAACGTAAATACGGACATAATGTAAGGGACTGTAAAAATCCATTGTGAATCGGAAATGACTACTTAACACCTTTTCTTCTCTCTCTTATTTGTAAAGCATGATAAAATATAATTATGTTACGAAAGAAAAATGCTGTAAAATAAAAATTATAAATGAAAAAATTGTGCTTTTGGTCAGCATTGTCAAAATATGGTATAAAGAATGTGATATACACAACGCTATCTAATCTATCTTACTTAAGGCATAACCAAATGATATATACTTTTATACATTTGTAATGTGTTGCTTTTATTTATTAGGTAGTATTAATATTTCCTTTTTTTCTTTATATCTACTATCGATGCAATACGCACGATAAAGAAAATAACTACCTGATAAAAATATTTCATTTCTTTTGTCGTCTTCTTGTAATTCACACTTTGAATTATTGTCGTGTCTTTTTATTTCCATTAATTTGTGCATGTTTCCTCGGGGTTTATTTACGAAGGCGTTATGTATAAGAATAATTTTCAATTTATTCGCAAGTAATTTTCATATTTTTCACACATCACATAACATTTCTTATTCTTGATCTCTATTTTGTCTTGTATGAATAATTCAATGTCATTTTTCTTTATGTATACACAAATTTTATTTTTAGAATCATCGTTGCGTTGTTAACTGAATATATTTATTTTAAATATACTTCTCAAAGTTCAACAGATTTTTTTTATATTTTTTCTTTATCTAACTTATGCTGCCGAATGAAAATAAGCAACGAAAGTGATCGCTGTAAGTTTGATCGTTGGCTTTTTTCAACTTGGCGTTTTAACACTTGAAGAGTTCAACCGCAACTGAATCAGCGAGAAAATTGTGTAGCAAAATTTCGTTCATATTTCTCGCAAGAGAGAAACGTAGATTTTTTTTTTTTCATAGCTATTTCTGCCGAGAGGAAGAAAAATAATGAATTTTTGTGTAAAAATCGGAGCATAGCATGCGCTATCAACTGTTTGCTCATCATATAGTTTACTTATAAAAAAAATGATAAACAAATAATTCTCTCACTTCACACAATCAGTTTGCACATGCTACAGGATAATTTTTTTGAGTATGAGATTCCCACTACTCTGTATTAGCATCAAAAAAAACACGTGCGTATTACAATTATAATAATTTATTTATTGTAATCTTCAAAGCAATAATATTACTTTTTTATTATGTTTATTCTCGATCATTATGACGTAAGCCTTTTACAAATAATAATTTGTTACATTTCGCAACTTCAATGTTGTCTCTCAAATGTCTGAGTTTTCGATTAGAATTAGCATAATTTACATCATTATTTATCAAATCGGCTGGTTTTAAAAAAAAGAAATAAAAAATAATTTCCTCACAACTTTTTGAATAATCTTTGATTCTATATTTTTAATATTTTTTTTTATATTCTTCAACATGCATTAATGCTTTAAACAGAACAAGACAAAAGTATTAATATATATATAGCTTTTCATTGTTTACACAAAAAAAAACGAAGTACATAAATCTTAAGTGATACAAAGTTTCATTTATAAGTTAAGTTAAAGCTGACCCGGAATTTCTTCTTTGTATCCTTTGTAATGATTTTTTCAAAAATGAAGATATATCCTAATTTTCGTAGTAATGCTCAATCTAAGATTGATTCGTATTCATAACATCCTTTATCAAAAAATAACAACTCACATGATTGATTTTTACACTAATATTTATAATATTACTTTTCAAAGCTTTTTTTTATATTCAATTTATTTAGAAAACAGTATTTTAAATTTATAGAATTAGCTTGAACTGGCAAAAGAAGCATTCTTACCTTTGAATTTTATTAAAGCAAAAAACTTTTTCATGTTTATTGCATATGATCCAATTTATATTATTATTATTATTTTATTATTATTGATTTCACTCTTACAAAAGGAAAAAAAAACATTAAAATAAAAAAAAATTAAAGTTTTTGTTGATATTACTTTGGAAAATGCAAGGTGCTCTAATACATGTAAAATAGGCTTCTGTGATTAAAATTCAACTGGTGCCAAGAAAAAAAAATTGAATAGTTTTTGGATGAAAAATAAGAAAATATGCCATAAAATGTGAAAAATTAAAATAAATCTTTTCATAACAAACTTTGTGCCTGGATCGTTTTTTGCATCAGAATGGTATAAAGCTGTCAAGAAAATTTGTGGATTTATCGACTTCATGTCATACTTTCCTACTTTTTATACAAAAAAATTTCAATTTTTTTCTCTAGCACCAGGTGAGTTTTTATCAAAGCAATCCATTTTACGTGTATTAGAGTCCCTTGAGAAAATGACAACTATATGCATGAAGTATAATAGGAACTGTTCAATCAGATGTGTAACCAGAAATTTTTCAAATGTGGGGCTCTAGATTTTTAAGGTGGCAGAGTTTTTTTTTCTATAAATTTTTTAGAATGCATCAGAATTTTTTGCCTTACTAGTTTTAATTTTAAGAGCCTCCTAGCCACGTTAATAAATTTAATATTTTACTATAAATGTATTCTTCAGAAGACATCAACAAAAAATTAACGTTGAACTAAAAACATGATTATAAGTAAGAAGAAAAACAGAATAAAACGGTATTGAGAAACAGGTGATTTAGTGTTAATGTATAGACTTTAGTAACACACATGTAAAAATTATTCCGAAATATTCGAAAACATTTTCGAGAATAATAAATCATATAAAGTGATGTGTATCAAAGCTACATTTCAGTTTTAATTGAGTTTCAGACAAGTTAATTTAAATTAAACCATAGAGTTTAAATAATTCCATACTCGTTCTAATTAATTGTAATTACAATTTGTTTAACATTCCATAAAATAGTTTCAGCAACAATTATCAAAAAAATTAAATTTCATATAATTTCATTGTCTAAAGGTTAAGGTACAAAAAAGATAACACAATCTTAAAGCATTAACAGTTCGATAAAATTTAAAGATGCAAAGAAAGTATGATGTAATAATTTTTGGAGCATCTGGCTACACAGGAAAATTTTCTATTCGTGAGGGAATAAATATTTTAGAAGGATTAAATTGGGCTATTGCCGGAAGAAATAAGGAAAAATTGGAAAATATCTTACATGAAGTGGGAAATAATGTGAAAGCTGATTTGTCAAAAATTCCTATCATTATTGCTGATGTCGAAGATGAAAAATCAATAAAGGAAATGACTGCTCAGACAAAAGTGATTGTAAACCTTTGTGGTCCTTACTATCTCTACGGCGAAGTCGTTGTAAAAGCTTGTGTAGATTCAGCTACACATCATGTAGATATATCAGGAGAACCGCAGTTTATTGAAAAGATGCAATTAAAATACCATGACCTTGCTCGAGAAAGAGGAATTTTTATAATTTCAGCATGTGGCCTTGAATCTATTCCTGTTGACATAGGTTTAAATTTTATGGAAGAAAAGTTCAATGGTACTTTAAATTCTGTTGAAAGTTATTTAAGAATATACATGGACAAGGGCTCTGATCAATCAGGAGCAAATTTAAATAAAGGGACTTTATTTTCTGCTATTCAAGTTGTAGCTAATTTCTTTGAAATGATAAGTTTGCGCCGACAACTTTATCAAAATCCATTACCACCTTTAAAACCAACCCTTAAAAATCGCTTGATTCATAAGCAGACTATAACAAATAAAAGTCGTTGGTGTATTCCTTTGATTGAACCTGATCCGTCTACTGTTCTGAGATCACAAAGATATTTATATGAAAATGAAAATAAACGTCCCGTTCAAGTGCATTCATATCTTGTATTAAATAAAATTTATGAAGTTATTGGATGCATGTTAATTGGGTTTTTCATACTTTTACTGTCACCATTAAGTTTTACAAGAAATCTTCTCTTTAAATTTCCTGAAATATTTACATTTGGAGTGTTTTGTAAAGATGGACCAAAAGAAGACAAAATGGATCAAACTTATTTTGAAGTAATCCTGTTTGGTAATGGATGGAAGGAAGGAACTTTGAATACCAACTCTATACAACCCGTTCCAACAAATAAAAAAATTAAAATAAGAGTAAGCGGAAAAAATCCAGCATATGGAGCCACTTCAGTTGCAATTTTACTGTCAGCCAGAACAATATTAAGTGAACCAACAAATATGCCACAAAATGGAGGAGTACTTGGACCTGGAGCTGCATTCAAGAAAACAAATCTAATAAAAAATCTTCATAGGAATGGTTTTACTTTTGAAGTATTGGAATCAGAGTAGTATATTTTGGCTTATTTATAATAGACAACTGTTAATCTTTTTGAATTGAAAATCCAATAATTAATATTATTTGTTTCAACACAAAAGGTTTATATTCAAGCTCTTTAATTGATTTCATAAAAAGTCAAATTTCCCGAATAAAAAAAAATCCCCAACAATTGCAAGTTGGCGAAAACTTAACTTAATTCTTTAAGATCAATAAATTAATTTTATTTGAAGACTGAAATAATATTCGCATGTTTTAAATTAATTTGTTTTCCAGTTATTTTAATTCTATAGGTAAATACTGAGATGAAATCAAGGCCACAGAATTTCCTGCACTATGTCTGCAATCACTACTTTTTTACTCAACTTTACAAATTTTTACTTATGTTTCAGTACACTTACTATACAATGTATCACAATCACTGCAATTACTTTACTTTACTACACTAACCTATACTTTACTACACTTTACTTTACTTGACTATACTTTAGTTTACTTTACTACACTAAGCTTAATTGTATCACACTTTACTACACTTTAGTGCACTTTACTCATACTTTTCTATCCTTTATTTTTAATCAATATTAATTACTGCATAATTTCAATCTAAATAGTTAAAGGTCTCTTAAACATGTGGTCTATTAATAAGTTATACTCATACTTTTTTTAAAAAAAAAATTTTGCAATCATTTTAAAAATTTAAAAGAAAATGTTTAAAATTTAACTAAAGGTTACAGAATTTACAGTATTATTTTTTTATTTTTTTAATTATTCTATGATTTTAAACCAAATTTAGCTGATGCAATAGAAAGAGCTTACAAAAACATAAAGCACTAATGCTGCTAAGGCAGAAATAATTTCATTCATTTCAAAGAAATTTCTAATTGATACCTTAAGTTTGTAAGAAAATTTGTCAAAAATAATTAAAATATAGCATAGAAAAATCGAAAAATTTAAAAAAAAAGTCTAAAATGTTGTACTTTTGTTTTTAAAAATGAGTAATTTTAATTGAAAACTTTATTTTAGAATTCAGAAGAAATGTTTTTAATAATTATTAAAAAATTCTGAAAAAATTTGCTTTAGCTTTAAGAATTTCTTCTCGAATTTGATTTTTTCACGCAACCTTACATTAAAAAACTAATAAGGACAATTTGTGTTAAGTTTAAATTTTTAAAAAAGCTATAAATACAAGCTAGATATAAATTAGTTTCAATTTATTTGCATTTCAAAATTGAATGAAGGGATTGTAGAAAATGAATATTTTAAATTTATTTTATATTATGCTAGTTTTTTATTTCAACAAAATTAACTTTCCAATAAAAACTTTTTAAAAATAAATATCAAAAGTGTTGATAACATTTCATTTTCCCTAAAACCAACAATATCAAAAACATTGATTCTCACTATTCTTTCGTTACTCTTCTTCGAAATTAGGAAGACATCCTAAATGTTGAAATTTATGCATTTAATTAATGCATAAAATTTCAAATAATAAGCGGTTCTTAAGTTGCGATAATATTGACTATTTATAAATAAATTGTATGTTAAAATATACATTATTTCAAAATTAATGCACATCAATTTTAAACATTTTGGTTTTTCTATACTTTCAATACTTTTACTACACTTGCTATACTCTTACTATACTGACTATACTTTTACAACACTTAATACACTTGCTACACTTTTACTACACTTACTACACTTTTAGTACACTATATTCTACTATAATTTGGTTTACTTTGATTCACTTTACAATATTTATTAACTACACTTTGCTCGTATTAACTTAATTTTAGTCAAAAGTTTGTATACGTTACTGCACAATGCTCACTCACGGCTATACTATTTTGGGAGTTCTATGGCCTTGAATGAAATCTAGTAAAGCAAGGTTTTCTTTCATTAAACTTTTTTTTAATTACATTTAAACTTAAGTATGTACAAAGTTTCTATACATTTTGTGGCTTTTGGTTTTTAAGATTTCAGGCAGTTAGTTTAATTTATTCGGTGTTCGTGACACAATATGACTGTTGAAGTTGCTTCTGTATGAAGATCGGTGATTCTTTTATATCTTGTTTTATTGAGAACAATTCTCAAGAATATGTTTCGCAGTGCTTGAAGTTTTTGAAGATGGGTTTTTGCCATGCTTCCAAATGCTGGACAACCATACGAAATATTGGTTTGATGGCAAGCTTGTAGATGAGAAGTTTTTTTGGTACGTCGAGCTGTGAGTTCCTGCTGATCAGCGGATAAAGCTGTCTTAATGCGGTGTGAGCCCTATTGGTCACATACTCCACATGCGGCTTTCTCCTAGGTCCTAGGATCCTAGAAAAATCTTAAAGATTATCCGAATTTGCAACCTTGGTGGGACCCAGTTTTAACATTTTAGATTAATTATGTGGATAATCCTAGTATAATATTACGATAATCCACCTACTAAAATCTTTTTTGTGAAATCCATCGTCAAAAAATTATTTTCTTTAAATCAATTTTTTTTTTGATTCACCGTGCAGTTTAACGTAGTAAAAAAATATAGATTATCCTACATCCAGGAAGGTTATGCATATCTCTCTTACTGATTTGATCACTTTGATAAGCTGGTGAGATGTTGATCTTCCTGTTCGGGAGCCGAACTGCTGGCTTGGGATGATGTTGTTATTATCAAGATGTAGTTGATTCTGTTCAACAACACTCTCTCCAGTATTTTGCTTATTGAGCTATAGACTTATTGACCTGTAGCTGCTTAGCTCGTTTGCTGGTTTTCCAGGTTTTGGTATTAGAATCACTTTTACGTGTTTTCTCTTTTTGATTCTTTTTGGAATCACAACTTTGTGGAAGTGATAGAGCGTGAGACACGAATTGATGATGAATTTAAAGTATTCGAAACCTTTTTCAGAGAGATTCTTGATGAGTATGTCGTTGGCATCATCTATTAATGGAGCTTTGGGATTTTTCAGATTTCTTATGATGCTCACGAATTTTCCAGGTTTTGTTTTTGAGTTCTTTAATTTTCTCACTGATGACTCTCTGCAGATAATTCAATTTGAGTTGAGTTGATTATCTCTGTTTCTTTTTGTATTGATTAAATCTTTAATTTTCGATGTCATTTTTTTACATTTAAGTGCTTTGAAGTTTTTCCAGTTTGGATTTTTGTAATCATATCTGTAGACTGCATTTTCAATTCTCTTGATTTTCAATACCAAAATTTAAAATATACAGCGCAGTGATGACTTATTGTTGCTTTACTCAAATTTTCAAATCTAAAATCATTTAATATCACTAATCATACATATCTCAGTATAAAATTTGATTTAAAACCAACGAGGTTAATATCAAGAAAATTATATTTTTGTTCCGACATATTTCAAGCATTCAAATAAAGGATTAGGGTAAACCATGTTGAAATTTGTGTGTTTTTGCACATGAAGATTTGATTTGCATATGTAACTTTTTAATGGCTGATTATAAGCTTAAAAGATCACAATTTGTGGGAGTTTTCATTTTACATTATGTTATGAAAGATGTGCTGCTTATGGGAAGAGAATTATGACATTTTTGGTCAAATGTTGAAATTTGTGCGAAAAAATGTTGAAATTTGTGCACTTTTTTGATAGCAAACTTTGACATAATTTCAATTCTCAAATGTAAACAAACATTTTGTTTACAATTTTTTGGAACTTAAATCTCGTTTTGTGGCAAGAAAAATATCTGAATCAAATTAAAACCAAATAAGAACTACTGACTGTTTTTAATTTATTTCTTAAGATGCATGCAAGATACAAGATTCAACTTAATTAATTTTGACTAAGCTTATTAAACAGTAAAATATTCATAAAGCAAGAACTTCCTGCAAGTTTTTAGATTTCATACAGATAGATAGTAAAGTGTTAAAAGTTAAAATAAAACAATACCTTAAAAATTTGGAAATTATAATGTTTTTTAAAAATGATCTTAAATTGAAATAAAAAGAGGATATACACATAAATGCTTTGGGGAGATTAATAATTTTTTTGAAGGATTCGAAGTTTTTCATAATATTTTCTACAGTTTTGAACGAGACGCATTTTTTTAACTTTTGGTTTTTAACTTTGAGGAGTTCCAATCATGTTATTTCTCATTTGTACTTCTAAAAACATGAATTTCATACATAAATAATATTTATTGTTGACAAAATGTGTCATTGCTTGCTACGATGAAAAACGCACAAAGTTTAACATTTTTCAAAATATTTTACACAAATTTCAACATTTAAAAACCTGTGATTTTAAAATCGATTATTAGAGCACTCCCAATGGCGTTTTATGACCAGAAACATTTTTAAACGATTAAACAATATTCAAATTCGATATTTCATTACTTTTATGCTAATTAGAAGCACTTGTTATGTCCAAAAAATTTAAAAGATAAACATTTAAATTTTGTATGGAGTTTTGATTTTTTCATATTTAGAGCTGCCTAAGGTTTCAAGACCATCTTAAATGATGTAGAAACATTTGGACATCTATTTTACATAGAACTGCATACAAATGTTCAGTATAAATGGCTTATTAATGATGATTTGTATTTAATTTGAGCGCAAAAATTTCAACATGGTTTACCCTACTATTATTAAATAAAGGGGAAATGAGGTGTTTTTGGAAAAGTTTCACCATAAGTCTTCGAGCATGTCTCATTTTAAAGCTGACATTGATACACGATGGTTACTTAAGTTTCAAGTTTTTTGGTCCATCTGGTGTTGAGTAGCAGGTCCTCAAAGTTGGGTATAGGCGAATTTTCTGTTTTTTGAGATTCTTTATTCAAACTCAATTTGCACAAAAACTACTCAACCAAGTGAAAAATGGTTTTTGGTTCCTAAAAGCACATAATATGACCTATATTTTAGTATATCAAACTATTTGAAAAATATCTACCAGATGGAGTAGTGACAGATTTAGTATGAAAAAATTGGGGCAAAACACACTACAAAAGTTCGTGATAGCCGCAAACTACCTGAATTTAAATCTAGCCTGTTATAACGTGGGCGCATTCATTAATATTGTATATTTGG